GGTAACCTGTAGTGAAAAAGAACATGAAAAGGGTTATATATATGTATATGTATGACTGAACTATTATGCTGCACACCAGAAACTGACACATTGTAACTGACTATACTTCAATAAAAAAGTGAAAAAAAAAACACACACCAATAAATTGGCCAGAATGCAAGTTAGGGAGAGTAACACTTATTATAAGAAGATGGTATATTTATACAATGGAATACTACTCTGTCCTAAAAAAGAATAAAATAATGTCATTTGCAGCAACATGGATGCACCTAGAGATTATCATACTAAGTGAAATAAGCCAGAAATAGAAAGAAAAATACTATATGGTATCACTCATATGTGGAATCTAAAACAAACAAAAAAAGACACTATGAACTCATCTACAAAACAGAAACAGACTCGCAGAAGGTAGGAGGGGATAAATTTGGAAGTTTGAGATTTACAAATATTAGCCACTATATATAAAAATTGATTTTTAAAAAAGTTTATTTTGTATAGCACAGGGAACCGTCTTCAATATCTTGTATGGAAAAATTATGAAAATGAATATATGTATGTATATGCATGACTGGGACACTGTGCTGTACACCAGGAATTGACACATTGTAACTGGCTGTACTTAAATTAAAAAAAAAGAAGATGGTAAGAGACAGGAGGATAGAGTTAAAAAGTCTAAAATTTTTCTGGTGCACGTGTAAAATAACCAAGTAGAGAGAATAAGAGAGAAGCATTACTGAGATGCTGAGAATTTCTGAGAAGTAATGAATGGAAGCATATGAATAATACATATGAACCAGATACACAGGCACTAATGAATAAATACAGGAAATGCAAACATAGCAAATAAGACAATTAAAAAGAAATCTACCATCAGATGTCTGGTAATAAAACTGCTGAACACCAAATTGAAAGAAACGGTCTTAAAAGTAGGTTGTGGGTGTTGGGAGTGGGGGTGATGAGAGTGCTTTCCAAGGCAGGACAGACCGACAGCCACCAGCTTTTCTTTGCAGCAGCCACATTAGGAGACAGAAGAGAAGTGACCGGTCATCCAGGGATGTGCTGGTGAGGGCTTAACCTGACTGTCCAGCAGCGGGGTAGCCCTGACTTGCAGCGTTCCTGAGCTCCATGGCGTTAACCCTCCTGGTATGGCCTATTTCAGACTACCATTGTGACATCACTGAACGCAGAACTGGGCAGAGATGTGTGTATAACAGGTTCTTACGAGCCAGCTGAGCTGGCTTCAATGTAACCATGAATAATTCTCAAGATATGAGGGAAAATGTCCTTCAGCACTGAATTCCAGGTCTAGCAAAATTATCTTCTAAGAATAAAGGCGAAGACCTTCTGTTTTTCAGATAAAGTCTCTCTTACAGAGAAAAAATTCAAAATAATTTACTTTGGAAAGAAGGAAATCAAATCTGGTAAAAGGTGAGATTCTGGGACAAGGCAATTAGTGACTTCACTGGTATATCAAAAAAGCAGTGTCTACATAAAATAATAGTTTTCATTCAAGGGAGTGGGGAATGAGATGAGAAGGAAAGATAAAATTTAGTCTAGATGTCAGTCACTGTTGACTGGCTCATTCAACTGCCATTTTGGAAAGGAAAATGGACATTTTCCAGACTTGACAGCCCTAGGGTTTTGGACACAGATTAAGTTATGAAAATTAGATACTGTTTAGGAATCTGGAAAGCTGGAATGAGACATAAGTCATTTTTCAGGCATTTTAGCTCTTTCTCCTGGCCAGCAAAGTCATGGTAACGTGAAGTGGTCTTTGCCACTGTTTTAACGAGATCTTCTGCCTCTTGGGAGTTGAGATGCAACCCTGTGGCCACGGTGGCATCTGGACTCTCGCTCAGCATTAATGATGACCTCAGAGTTCACAGCTCTCTGTTAGTCAGCTCGGAACTGCTGGGGGAGCCATTCCAGAAGATTCCAACAGGAATGCACACTTCAGGGTTGCCACCATTTTGTAAGCAATTGATTTCCTGCTTAAAATGTCTCTGGTTGTTAATGTTTTCTACTCTGTACTGTGACTCAGAGAATAAGAAAGAACAGGATAGAATCCCAGGAGAAGGTGAACAAGCAGAAAAGAAGGAGGCAGAAACAAATCCAACCATACCAATAACTGGAGTTTGTCAAGGGGCTTAAATTTGCCAATTGATAAAACAGAGGTGACCAGGTTGGATCAAATGATATGCATTCAGCTGTAAGCTCTTCATAAGATCACATATAAGGCTTAAAAAAAAAAGACTGAAAGGAAACATATGCAAATGATACACCAGGCTAATGCTAACTAAAGCAAAACTGAATTAGCTGTATTAATAACAGAAAAAAACAGGTTTAAGCAAAGAGAAGTTCAAGTTAAACACCATCACTTCAAGTATGAAAAAAAGTTTAATTTGCCAAGAAGATATAAAAATTTCAGTCTTGCTCACACCTAATAAAAGCCCTCACAGTATATATAATGAAAATTCACAGAACTTCCTGTAGAAAAAAAGAACATTCGTTATCATCATGGGAGATTTCAATCCTCTTTGAAGTTTTGGTGAGTTCGTCAAGAGATTAAGGATTTGCAAAATCCAATAATTGGGTTGTGCAAATCCTTAATTTCTTTAGGTAAAATTCATGTAAATTTAACTAAAAAAATTCGAGTTAACATTTTAAATTAAAATAATCTTAATTGCATTGCTAATTTACCTTACTCAGGCTTCTATGAAGTCGACATAAAGGGGATGTCAGTTTCCAAACTTGACGTGTATGTATCGAAGTGTTTCGTACAGCAGACATCTTGGTTCTAGATCTTGGATATTATCTAGATCTCATGCTTACTGTGATGAAAAGTATTTGCTTACATATTTATTTTAACAGAGACTGCTGGAAAGGAACAAACTAGAACAACAAACCTGTGACTTTGCCCAAGGTGAGTGACCTGATACCCCCAAACTCGACTTCTGGGGAGAAGTTGTAACTGAATCGGAGTTGCTGGTCCATCTGCGGGAAAACAGAAAACACAGGCACATCAGCAGAGGTCCCCGTGGACAGGGCATAAAACCCTCCCATCCGGAAATAGCTTGAAAACACACACAGGGCAGACTCCTCTCTGGGATGATCTCTCCAGAGAGACGAGAACTGCCTTGCTAATTCTCCAACAATGCACATAAAATATGCTTTTCTTTCCTCTTGGTGAAATAAAGGCTTTCACACAAGTCTGCTCCCTGGGAAATTCTGTACAGCTTTTGACAGGTATTTATCTCCCCACTGAGATTTTCTTACCAAACTCTTTGCTGCAAACAAGCAAACAAGCGAAGCCTTCTCGGGAGCGTGCAGTGTTGGATTAACATTAAGTGGAAGTCGGGCACGTGCCTGTTTTTCCCTCCTTCTTCCCATTTGGTCCTGAGAGCCTTCACTGCTCCCTCTCCTCCGATAATTCTGACCTGGTCCCATTCAGGTGTGCACAGAGGGATTTTTCCTGAGCAAACTGGAGCCTGGGGAGGTGAGGCTTGCTGAACGGTTGTCACCAACAAGAAGAGCTGATAACCGCAGCCTGCAGGTAAGCAAAAGCCGCCAGGGAGATTCTCCAGGACTTTATTTCTGGGATCGTCCTTTAGGAAGCCTTCATTTCCTCGGGCAGTTTTCTCCAGTTCCGTCTCCTTGTTCTCCCCTCCCCATTTCAGGGCATCATCCACCATCCGTGCGCATCTAGTCAAACCCTACCAGATTCTTCCAGGCTCTACCCTGAATATTCACAGGATGTCATCCCTGGGAAAGATCTTTGTAAGGAATTTGTGTTCCTTTGTAAGAAGAGGAGACTAGGAGCTCTTTGGCAGTGAGCCAACCTCCAGGCTCCCAAGGGGAGCAGCCCCCTTGGGGAGCAGCTGCTGGGAGACTGATACCCAGTGATCCTGGCTGCCACTGCCAGGACTCTCCCGCACCCCCTGTTGCTCAGAGTGAACCCCACCCCAGTAACCTCTGAGTCCCGTGGTGGCGTCTGCTGTGAGACACATCTGTGGCTGTGACTTGTGCTATATGATTATGTGCATTATGGCTTTTTCATTTACAAAATTAGACTGTAATAATATTTGGTGTTTATTGAAGACTTGGTATGTATGAACCACCAAACTATTGGTATGTATGAAGATACTAAAGTATCCTTCCAAATGCATTCTTTTGCTAGTTATCAGAGAAATGCAAATCAAAACAACAATGAGGTATCACCTCACACCAGTCAGAATGACCATCATTAAAAACACAATGAAGGATAAATGCTGGAGAGGGTGTGGAGACAAGGGATCCTCCTATACTGTTGTTAGGAATGTAGTTTGGTGCAGCCACTATGGAAAACAGAACAGAAATTCCTTAAAAAACTAAAAACAGACTCATCATATGATCCAACAAGCCCCCCTTGTGGGCATATATCTGGAAGAGACTCTAATTTGAAAAGACACATGCACCCCAATGTTCACAGGAACACCATTTACAACAGCTAAGACATGAAAACAACCTAAATGTCCATCAACAGATGACTGGATAAAGAAGTTATGGTGTATATATCCAATGGAATACTACTCAACCATAAAAAACAATAAAATAATTCCATTTGTAGCAATGTAGATGGACTTGGAAATTGTCATACTAAGTGAAGTAAGCCAGAAAAAAAAAGAAAAATACCATATGATTATCACTTATACATGGAATCTAAAAAAAAAAGGCACAAATAAACTTATTTACAAAACAAAAACAAACTCACAGACACAGAAAACATACCTATGGTTACCAGAGGGGAAAGAAGGTGAGGAGGGATAAACTGGGAGTTTGGGATTAGCAGATACACACTACTGTATATAAAATAGATAAACAACAAGGTCCTACTGTACAGCACAGGGAACTATATTCAATATCTTGTAATAACCTGTAATGAAAAAGAATCTGAAGAATATGTATATGTATAAATGAATTACTATGCTGTGCCCCAGAAATTAGCACAACATTGTAAACTGACTGTACTTCAATTAAAAAAAATGCACTCACAAAGAAGAAAAAAGAGAGAGCACAAATTAGCAAAATAAGAAAGGAAAATGGAGAAATTACAATAAACAAAATAGAAATACAGAATATCATACTAGAATATTATGAAAAACTATATGGAACCAAACTGGATAACCTAGAGGAGATGGACAAGTTTCTGGAAACATACTGTCCACCAAAACTGAATCAAGAAGAAACTGAACACTTGAACAATCCAATCACTAGAAAGGAAATAGAAATAGCAATTAAAAACCTCCCTACAAATAAAAGTCCAGGACCGGATGGCTTCACCAGGGAATTCTACCAAACATACAAAGAAGAACTCATACCAGTCCTTTCTGGATTAAGTTCTTATTTGGGAAAAGGAGGGAATACTCCCAAACTCATTCTATGAAGCCAACATCACCCTGATACCAAAACCAGGCAAAGACACTACAAAAAAAGAGAATTATAGGCCAATATCACTGAGGAACATAGACGCCAAAATCCTCACCAAAATTTTAGCAAATAGAATTCAACAACACATTAAAAAAGATTATACATCATGACCAAGTGGGGTTCATCCCGGGGACACAAGGCTGGTTCAACATAAGCAAATCAAACAATGTAATACATCACATCAACAAGAGAAAGGACAAAAACCACATGATCATCTCAATCGATGCAGAAAAAGCATTTGATAAAATTCAACATCCATTTATGATAAAAACTCTCGCCAAAGTGGGTATAGAGGGAACATATCTCAACATAATAAAAGCTATATATGACAAACCTACAGCCAGCATAGTACTCAACGGTGAAAAACTCAAAAGCTTCCCACTAAAATCTGGGACAAGACAAGGATGCCCACTATCACCACTCCTATTCAACATAGTCCTGGAAGTCCTAGCCACAGCAGTTAGGCAAGAGAAAGAAATAAAAGGGATCCAAATTGGAAAAGAAGAGGTAAAAGTGTCATTTTATGCTGATGACATGTTACTATATATAGAAAACCCTAAAAGGTCCACACAAAAGCTACTAGAGCTGATTGAAGAATTCAGCAAGGTAGCAGGTTACAAAATTAACGTTCAAAAATCAGTTGCATTTCTTTACACTAATGATAAATCAGCTGAAAAAGAAAGTAAAGAAACAATCCACTTTAAAATAGCACCCAAAGTAATAAAATATCTGGAAATAAATCTAACCAAGGAGGTGAAAGAATTATACACAGAAAACTATAAACCATTGATGAAGGAAATTAAAGAAGACTTTAAAAAATGGAAAAATATTCCATGCTCCTGGATTGGAAGAATCAATATAGTTAAAATGGTCACACTGTCCAAGGCAATCTACGGATTTAATGCAATTCCTATCCAATTACCCAGGACATATTTCACAGAACTAGAACAAATCATAATAAAATTTATATGGAACCATCAAAGACCTAGAATTGCTAAAGCATTACTGAAGAGAAAGAAAGAGGCTAGAGGAATAACTCTCCCAGACTTCAGACAATACTATAGAGCTACAGTCATCAAGACAGCAT